CAACTCTAAGACTTCACCACGAACTGCCAGCCCCCCCACGGGGTACGGGCCTAACGGCCTAAGGGATCCACACCCAGAGGTGTGGGACTAATCCTCCAGGAGAAGTGAAGTGCCCCATCCCCACTTCCCACGATAGTCAGGTTCGATCCCCTGACCTTTGCTTTCACAGGGAGTTTCACCCTTCCACTAAGCCAGTGGACTACATGCCCTGGGGGCACTTGAAACGGCTATCTTAAGGCTTACATTTGCTCATTTATTTTGTCACCAATAGCTAGGTTGAATCCCTAACTCATAGAAGTCCTGTAAGAGCAAAACTAAACTGAAATAGAAAATCGATCCAAACCGTGCAATTTATTGCGGTTCAATTCTTTTTTATGTAAAAAAGTTTCAATTCGGGTTCGACTTAATTTCTTTACGCATTGTTATGCGATGCGGTTGTAGCTTTCCACAAGTTTGATTTTAGGTTTTGTTCGGTACGGTTCAGTTTTGCACCGAACCACACCAAACTGAATAAAATGCATAGAAAATAAAATTGAAAACCAATCCGAACCGTGCATCTCAACGCGGTTTGGTTCAATTATTTTAGTGAAAAAAAATAAAAAATTGGTCTGCTTTCGGTTTGACTTTTTTCTAAGTTGGCAGGCAGTTCGGTTACTTTTTTGCTAGGTTCAATTTTCAATATTTTTGCGGTTTGGTGCCATTTTTGCTAGGTTTAGTATTAAAAACATTATTATACAAATGCATATTTTAATAATAACTTTGTAATAATAATGTTTATAAATGACTAAGAATAAAATAATATAATATAATAGAGTTTTAATTCTTCCGCTCTTAAATATTTTATCAAATGATATGCTTAATATAATCTCATTGGTTTGGGTTGTTTAGCTTTGTTTTCTTTTGTCATTGTTGAATAATCAATAAAGGATCTTTATCTTGATTTTTCGAAGTATTATGTATTATACAAAAAATCTAACAATAAAAGCATTAAAAAAGTTATTAGTTACTAAATATTGCAAATCTAAACGAATGTAAAAGATATTATGATAAACAACTCTAAAACCATTGCAACAACCTAGTCAAAGATTTGTAAAGAATAAATTAAATAGTTCGTCCATTTTCTAAATAAATAACATTGAAAATAGGATGTCAGGGCCTGATCAAAATATTTTTTAATGTTTCAATGAAGTTGTCACTTTTTTATGGGAATGTTTAAAATATCATTGGTGTATTGTGCTCGAACATTGTGCAATTACTTTAGAGTAACATTATGATTTCAAAAAATAATTTAGCGGTAAAGTACAACTAAGATTTTGGAAAGTGAACTCTTATTTTGTGATAACATTCATTTTCACGCATAGGGCGATGCCTGCATGGAGTAGGTACCAATTTGCCTATATGGAGAGAGAAACGAAGTAGTTTATACAATGATAAAAAACATCAGCAATTTTAAATACATGAATCACATGAAATCATACAATTATGAAATTTGACCATAATATTTCTAATTGTTCAAATAAAGTAGACGTCTTGCCAAATGAATTAAGAACTTTGCAATACTATTGATGTATTAGTGGGCTTCAACGGGTATGAATGTTTGTTATGAGAACGTCAAAACAAAAATGAAAAGAAATTACTCTTGAATCATCTAACATATATAAATAAAAGAGTTAATGCATATATAATATATGTTATCTCCTTATTTAGTTAGTTATTTAGTGTTTTATTTTTTCATTAAGTATTCATTTTTCATATATTTTTGTCGAGGTTGTAATATTTTGTTTCATTCTTAGTATATTAGGACATCATTATGTTATTTTAAAAAAATACATTAGAACCTACATTAATTAGTAATTAATTTGTTCAACTAAACTTAATAGGAAAAAACAAAAAAATCACCATCACGTGCATCGTGTGCACTTTACTAGTATCTCAACCTGACTCATGAAATAGGTTAATACTACCGTCAATCATTGGTAAAACAATAAAGTTAGGTTGTATCCTGGGTGACCATGTATTTAGTCAGTTTGGCCATGAGAGTTACAAAATAATATGAATTCCAGTATATAAATACAAAATGTCCAAATAATCAAATCAAGAATACTTATTAGTATGAGAATATGTTCAATGATATATCTAATCTGTACTTTATTTCATTTGAATAAAATGATAATATATTATGAAAGATGGTATAGTCCTGTTACAAATTATTCCGTGCGGTTTATAACTATTAGATCAAGGGTTAAAAATCCCGACTAAATAGTTACGAGACCTTAACATTTTCCTATATTATAACTTTTGTTTACGCACAATAAATCTTAATTCATGTTATTTATATTATTAATTTAAAATACCACTTAATAATAAGGTTTACTGTGCATGCCACGTGGTGGTGGTCTAAGTAAACAAAAAATAGTCAACAATACATACCTGCATCAGTGACACATGGCCAAACCTCCCCTTGAACTTCTCCACTACCGAATTCGCCAACGGGGCTCCGCCACACAGCACCGTCTCCAACAAATTTAGATCAAATCTCTCCAGCGCCGCCTCAGTCTTCACCATCTCCACCACTGTAGGCGGCGCCGCTGCCAGATGCGTCACCTTGAACTCCTCAACGGCTCCCACAAGCGTCCCCAGGTACGCCCTATCCACCACCACCACACTCCCGCCGAGAGCCACCTCCCGGAGACACAGCGCGAACCCGTACACGTGGAAGAACGGGACCGCACAAAGGGTCACCGCAGGGGATGGACGGACGGAGCGGACTGCGCGCACGCTGGCTACCGCGGCCACGAGGTTCCGGTGAGTGAGCTCAACGCCCTTGACCCTCCCGGTCGTCCCGGACGAGTAGAGGATCGCAGCCGTGTCGCTCTGGAGCACGCCAGCCCTAACCGGACTCTCGACAGGTCCAGATCTGGGAAGAAGAAGGGAGTCGAAGTCGGGAGAGTCGAGGAGGACTGTCCCCAGACGTAAGGGAGGGAACTTGGATGCGCAATCCGAGGCGGCAAACGCAATTGCAGGTTTGGTGATGTGAATCTGGCGGGAGATCTCAACGGCGGAGCTAAGGGGATTGGAAGGGCAGACGACGACGCCGAGAGAGAGCAGGGCGAGGTGGAGGAGGGGGATGTGGATGGAGTTGGGGGAGAGGATGAAGGCCACGTCGCCTTTGGAGAGGTGGAATCGGCGGCTTAGGTTGGAGGCTAGGGTTCGGAACAACCGAGGGAGGTCAGAGAGAGAGATGCGGCGGCGCGTGGTGGCGTCGATGATGAAGGCGGTGGGGGTATGGGGGTCATGGAGGTTGGATACATAGTCGGGGAAAGAAAAGGGGATTGTGAGAGGGGGCAAGGAAATGGGTGGGCGGAGGCTGTGGAAAATGCGGGTGTCTGGGTCGAAACCGCTGTGGGGATCGCATTTGGATGGCGTCATGGGTAATGGGTTTGGAGCGGTTGGTGGATAATTTGTTTGGGGTTTTTCTGTGCACCTACTAGCAGCTCCTGTGGCACTAGTTAGCAATAACTCCTGCGAGGGTTTGTTCCTTATTAATGTTTAATAAAATTTTATTTAATTATTTATGGCATCAAAAGAGATACTAAGTATGAATAATCATATTAACTTATTTAAATTGTTTTGAGTCACTATTTGAAAGAAGTTGTTACGGGAGGGAAGGCGATATAACCTAATCCCCAAATTGTTGGCGCCTCTCCACAAAATTCACGGTCGGTTTGCCTTCCTCAGCGACGGCGGGACTCTGACCAGTGGTCGTCCTTGACTGCTCGGCCCATCCATGACTTTGCGAGCCCTGGTGATGCTACGATTGATGATATGATGAGGTCTCCCCATGGACGTCGTCCCCATTTCAGACGGGGTCTTGTGGGATCTGATCGTCGTCTTTCCGATATGCGGTGGCGTCAGTGGGTGGGACGTGGCTCTGGCAGCTGCGACGTCCTGCATCTGGGTGGTTGGAGTTGAGAGACCCAGCTAGGGCTGAAAATTTTTTGACCGAAAACAAAAAATCGAACCGAACCAAACCGAACCGACGAGAATATAAACTGAACCGAACTGACTCAAGTGTAACGTTAACCGAATTTCGGTAACCGAAGTGTTATCGGTTCGGTATCAGTTCCGAACCTATTAGGGTTCGGTTTTACCGAACTGAACCGATAACGATATATATAAAAGAAAAGAAAAATCCTACAATGACTAAGGAGAGAAATAAGGGAAAGACGTTTAAATAGGGCTGGGACTTGGGAATGTTTTCCAATATCGTCATTTTCTATTTTCACAGAACTTATCAACTTCATAATTCAGCCCTACCTCACCTCACCTTCACGTCAGACCTCGACCCACTTCACCGAAAGCCGTCAGCAGATTTTCCCACAAATTGAAAGCCTCGACCCACCTTCACCGAAAGCCTTTGCATATAATTCGGTAATTCCCACAAATTTGTCAATTCAGAATAGCAACGGATTTTCTAATTTTCAAGGCTCTCAAAGCCTCGTCTGTTCTTTCTCACGCAACCACAACATCAAGCTCCAATCTCAAATTCCAGGTGAGAAAATCTTCTTTTGTGATAGCTAATGATGGCACAAGTTGTGTGAAACATGCAAATAATTTAATTGCTGATAGATTGTTTATTGCTTTGGTTAGTTGTTCTGATGTTTATAATTATGTCCTCCTCAGGTGTGTGTGTGTGTGTGTGTGTGTGTGTGTGTGTGTGTGTGTGTGTGTGTCTTTGGAGTCTTCTCTCTCTTTGTAGCAGTAGTAATTTGTTATGTTATATACTAAAAGTTTGACTTTGGATGATATTACACTTTTACCCTTTATGAATGAGAAACATGTTAGATTAAACAAGTTTTACGATCTGTTGTTTTGCATTAGATAGTGTGGGTCGTCATTGGGCGAACAGAAGATCATATTATCAGTTACTCGCAAAACAAGAATTAATGGTTCACAACCTAGATGGACATGAACACCCCATCGTAAACGGTTGTAGTGCCAACCGTACATATTGTCTTGACTGATTAGTTGCAATAGTACATTTATGTATTGAACAGGATCCCAGAGAGGAGCAGATCGTTTTATACTGATTGTCGTAAACGGACTAGGCCTCGGTTAATTATTGTGTACTCTTAACCCGTAAGATATTAAACAGGCATATATGTGTAGTACTTGTTACTTTGATTCACATGGGTGAGGCTTAGTGAACTGGGTCAATAGGCCCACTGTCTTGGGTTATATTGTTTCATGTAGGATGTGTGTTAGGATATTTACGGTCACCATGTGCGTTAGTTTGATGATGTCCCCACGGTGAGCTCATGAAGGAATGTTATGCTAAACCCTGCAGGTGGATTAATTCCGGCATAATATGAATGTGATGAACGAGTTCTAGCTTCGGTGAAATAATAATAAATTAATTAATTCTTGATTGTCAGTGATCGAATTAATTAATGGACATTATATCTTAAACCTGGGGAGATAAATCGAGTAATTATTATTGGAGTCTCAATTGTAAATTGGGCTAAAAAAGAGAGGGCAATAATATTATGTTGGTGACCATTTAATAGTATTTGATTAATTAAAATAAGTGGGCTGACCCATAAGTATTTTATTTAATTAAGGAGCTCTTCTCCTAATCTCCTAAGGGTCCCTACTGTAGCTCTATATATACATCATTAAGCTCATGGGAAGAGAAGAGAACTCTCATAATATCTCATCTACATGCATGCCATCTCTCTCTCTCTCTCTCTCTCTCTCTCTCTCTCTCTCTCTCTCTCTTTCAGTTCTCATTCGAACTTTGTCTTCTTCTTGTTGCTCCACTGGTACAAGTTGAAGAAGGGTGTATTGAGATATACAGTAGAAGATCTGTAGATAAATCGAGATGAAATATATTTTATCGTACAGAATTCAACAAATCCTATTAGTCCTATTTTATCCGCATTATTCAATTTGCAATCCCAATAGCAATAATAAAAGGAGATTAACAAATCAAAGCAATCAAATTTATCCATGTGATATTATACCACACCTCAATCTATATCCAAAGCACTTTACCACGATATGCAATCACATATACATTCACTCAAATGTACAGTCGACCAGAATTTCATAAAACCATGAATTCAATAAACAATTACGATAAATCATACTCTGCAGCTATAAATGACCATTAATCGAATGCACCAAATAAAAATTCAGATGAACTACTCTCAATACCGAGCTCCTTAGTCATGCAAGGTTTTGTTCGAGGCTCCACGTATACCTATTTTTTGCATTTCACTAGTCACTAGAATGATAATTCCAAACATATCCATATACACCACAATCTCAACCACATTTCGCCCAAAATATTTAAACAATGACATTTCTCCCTAAAAAAATGCTAAGATACTCAATGTGTCACAAAATTGTGCCGGTCGTACTTGACTGCAAACTAGAGTTAGGATTAATTTTATACCTAAAGATCCAGAATACCACTCTCTATTATCTCATACCTTTCTAAAAGAGAATGATTTCTGCCTTTGAAATTGCCACCGATGATCGACATCATCCAGGCTTGTCCCTCATTATCACCCTCCTTTGATGGATCATGCCCGTTCATCTTGTCCTCGAAACTCAACAGCTCGTCCGCTATACCTTGTCATGACTTGGGTTATTTCGTCGTTTCCTCGGCAAAAATTTGAAAAGACATCATTATCCGTATTATATTCACGTCATCCATTTTGCAATTCTCCATTTCGAGAAAAACAATATATCAAATACATATATCACCATCTTCTCGATTTAAGATATCCTCGAACAATGACATGCTTCAGAAATCATGAATAATCCATTTCAACAAAATTCCACATTATAACACAAAAATCCAAATGAAAGGTTCCGAATATATCAGGATATCGAATCATATAATTTTAATCCACCTCCTCGAGCCCATCGGTAAGTGCATCAAAAAACACGATAAACACAATCCTAAAATATCCTCAATTCGAAATCACGACCCACATTATTTTCAATCAAATATATCAATGAACAAATCAAATGTATACACGATCAAATCAAATATATCCACAATCAAATCTAATAATCCCTCGATCAAATCAAATATAATCACGAACAAATCAAATATATCCATGACCAAATCAAATATATCCACGAACGAATCAAATATATCCACGATCAAATGCAATAATCCCTCGATCAAATCAAATATAATCACGAGCAAGATCAAATATATCCACGTACAATTCAAATAAACCCTCGAGCAGATAAAATATAATCGACGAACAAATAAAATAATCCCCGAACAAATCCAATATCCACAAACAAATCATATAATTTTATAATTAAATCACATAATATCTCCACGAACAAATCAAATATTATCTCCTCAAACAAATTAAAATAAATCCCCTTGAACCAAATAAATAATATTTCATCTAACAAAACAATATCTTCTCGAACAAATCAAATATCACCTCGAACAAAATAATATATACTCGAACAAATCAAATAATATCCAAGAATAGTCCAAATAATATCTACTCGAACAAATCAAATAATGGTCCTTAAATAAATCCAGTAATACTCTGTCAAAAAATTAAATAGGCTTCTCGGATAAATCAAATAATTTCTCCTCGACCAAATCAAATAATATCTCCACAATAAATCCAATAAACTCCATAAATCAATTTAAATATCCTCCGATCGCAAAATTTAAAATAGTCACATACCTCCGTAATGAGAATACTTTATCAAATTACCTCACCGTCAATGTCCTATCATCCCGAAATAGCCTTGGGTATAAACCAGGGTTGTGGGACCAAGCTGGGCCGATTCAGACCGCTTCTGCACACTCTGGACTAGTCTGGGCTCGAGCTGGAAGCATTCAGCGTTGCTGGAGGGGTTTAAATGTCAACTGGGCCACGTTAAGGGTGCTAGGCTGCGGCTAAATGCCTTTGGGCCAAGGAAAATCCGCTATTGGGCCAAGAATAGGGGCAGCAGGGGAGTGGGCCTCTCGCGGGCTTCGCATGTCGCACTTTGGCTAAACAAGGGTGGCGGATGGGCTGAACGCGCGGGCCACTGGCGGGCTAGGCACGGGCAGGCTGTGGGCCTAAAGCAGGCTGAGTATGAAGTAAATGCGGGCCGCTCGGGCAGGGCGCAGCCCGCGGGCTTCTCTCTTCTCCTGGCCTCGCGCATTTGGGCCGCGCTCGATTCTGGGCCACTGCTCCTGGGCCGCTAGCGGACGGGCCCTCGTTGGGCCTCCTGTACGGATCACTGATGGTGGAAGCAGAACCAGGCTGGTGGGTTGTTCTGCGTCGGGCTCCTCGCAGATCTGCAGCTGCATGCTTCAACACACGCCCGACTCCGGCAAAAATGGCAAAAATTATACTACCGCAAAGGGCCACCGGATCCAGCTAAAATGATAGTCC